CAGGATTTTCTCTCTGTATGTTAGGCGAATAGTAGCTGTTTCTTTTTCCTTTCTGGAAAAATTCGCAAAGCATGCTCAGACCATCGCCGTTATGGCTTCTCAGTCTGCGGGTAGAAGAAGCAGCGGCTGTATGCCAGTGCATTGTCGGATATCTGAACTGACCTCGTTGAGACCCGTGAGCCCAGCGACTCGTCTCAGGAAGCTCATTTCAGCCACTTTTACCCGGTCTCGATGCTTCTCAGTCATGGTCCACAACTCATCACCGTAGGTGAGCTTCAGGATGAAGATCGAGTTGAACACCGAGAGCCCTGTTTTCAGATTCAATTCTGCATGAGTCACATGGTTCGGGTTAGTTCACACAGAACCAGAATTGCAAAAATACTTACGCGCTGTACCAATTCCAAATACCGTTTTATCGTTTGCCAGTCTTTTCCGGGTTCATGGTATACCTTGATTTTCACAGCTGCGCAAGAGTGTGCGTTCCACCGTATTTCGCACTGCTGTGCGAACCCACACTCTAAACATTGCTCAGTTTCCTTGTCGGTGACACAGTACTTTGCCACTGAGTTGACAGACAACCATGCTGCTTGACTTCTCGATCTTTACGCCGCTACCGACATTCAGTATCCGTAAATGGAAGCCCTTATTTCAGACTACAGAATATTTGTTTACGAACTCCGGCTGCGCTCTGGTAAAATTTTCGTAACGAATGCGAATTCTACTCAAATAGTACGTCATCACACGAATGATAAAATGATTGCCTTGTCTGCTGTTTTCAAAATGCATGTGGCTCTCGTGATGTTCGTTTTGAACTACGTTGATCTAACCTACCAGCATAAGGCGATACTTCTGTTTTCAGTTCCAAGGAACTCACTGAAGAAGTTTATGATCAGGTCAGCGATGAAGACCGTGACAAGATCTATGACCACTTAGTCACCAAAGCGCCTTTGGGTAAAGAAGAGTTTGTACGTTGCCTTTTCGTTGTTTGTTATTTCATTCAATTTGCTCGACGCTTTTCTGCTTCAGGAGTTTAGTCCCTCGGATCA